TTGAAAAAATAAACTTACTCCTAATATCTGGAAAACTGTAAACTTGGCAACATTGCCGATACCACCATTGAATCGAACATCATCAATAATCACCCTGAAGAAAATTTCGTGAATTTTTCTCAAGCCGTTCCTGAAATATGAGACCGATCCGATACTTTTGAGAGACACTGTATACATATATATAGCAAGAAAAACGTGGGGAATCCCTAGCTGTAGCGTTCGACATATTCTAGCTCAGTCATTGGGTTTCGTATCGTAACTGACGTGCCATGGGCTGTGGAGTCTGAAACGGATTCTGCCATTCAACCTTTGACGTTCCTTCCTGCACAAAATGTCGTTCTGGAAGCAGGGCAATTTTCTTTATCTTCCTCAACAACAATAGTTGGTTATTAATTGTTGAGCCTCATCATCATCTTCCATAATTTGATTTTCTATATTCAAACAAAATTCCGATACCTACCTCCTGTCCCTATCCTCCCTAGGAACGCACGATGTTCTTTGAACATTATAGGGATTTCCTTTCGTGCGCTCCAAGCGATAAAAAAAAACTATACTTTGAAATGAAACTAACCTCTTCATATCTATGTGAGTACTATCCATTGACAAATGGTTTTTCATATTACGATGTATCTCCTTGTATTGTAGGACTTCTGAGCATAAGCTGAAGTTGGACATTGTATATGTCTGAAAAATGTTCCTAATTTGATGTTTTCATATTGAAAAGTCGTTTAAATGACTTCGTGCTTTTCTCAAATGAATATGATGTCGAAAGCTTTCGACCGGTTTTGGCATCAAGGACTCTTTCAAAAACTACCATCATACGGCTCACCATCTCAGCTATTTCATCTTTTATCAAGTTTTCTTTCCGGTAGATTGCTTCACGTGGTGGTATACGGAGTGTCGTCTGATATCATTGCCATCAATTCCGCCGTTCGACAATTATTTTGGCATCAACATCGGTCTAACCAATTGAACTTTCTATAGCCCTGCAGATGATGGTACTTTTCATAGGGTGTTCTCTTCCAGAATTCTCATTCCTTCCCAGGAATTAATGAATTTCATGCAATTCCGGTCGAACCGGAAATGTCATGTTTGGTCTGATACTAGGAAAACTATACAAGCATTAAATCAGATCGATGTATCACATTTGAAATATCCATACAAAATAGCAACGAAGATACAGGGGAGTAAATTGGTTTCTAGTCATACCCGCTAAATATATTCTCTTCCAGAAGATAAACGTAATTTAATTTATGCGTGTACAGGATTTTCATGACGTACTAGATATTCCATAGGCATGTTACTGAAGTCGAATCAAGAAGAAACCTTCCAATAAGCTTTGTGTCCACTACTCATCAATTTTCATTCAATATAGATTGGTTCGTCATAATTTGACTGCCAACAATAATTTCCTTATTTCTTTATCAGATTACTTATGACGAATTTTCCATGAAACTCTCGATTGCTTCAAATTTCTTAATTCAAATTGTGCTGATCCTCATGAAACATATTGTATACACTAGAGCTCATTACGCCACATATCTATTTCATATTGATTGTTCCTTGTATGGGAATAGTTTCGATGATTATTTAAAATCGTCACAATAGTAATGAGAATGATTATCTCTGAAAACCGCTAGGTCTTGATCACGTCATATACCGATAAGCATACGAATAATATTGTCATAATTTCCAACAACCAATGGAAATATATTGGAAATTAGAATTCACTTACACAGTAGAAGTGAACTGATATACACACAATGAGTAAGTCGTATCGTATATAAGTTTCATTGGATTGATCGTGATATACAGTGCCTGTTTGAGGTCCGCCCCCTCCTCCCTTACTGATTTTTGAACCACCTGATGGAATATCCTAACGAAATTTCAAGGGCTCGCGGCTGAGCGCTACCTTGTATTATTTCATCAAATGGAACACCTCATATGTTGTTCAATTCTTGAAATAACATAATTCTTAACAGTTTCATTCAATATTCTTCATTCCTGAATTCGATAGTTTCTGAAATATTATCGTTTGAGAAGTGACATTTTAGTCATTCAAAACCCAGCAAAAAACTCGAGTGTTTTTCTCAATCAAGTTTGCTCTGGAAAAAAATATTGTAGCGGTGATATACTGATTTTTTCCAAAGAAAACTTGATTAATAGGAATATTCGAGTTGGTTGGGTTTTCAATGAACGTTAATATCACTATTGATTTTAGGAGGGAAGTATATAATATGGAGTTGTTATGAATCATGAGAAGATTTAGAAAATGGAATAATACAGGGGGTGTTCCATTTGAGATCATTCATGATGACGCTCAGGCGCCATTTAAAAATTTGTAGCTGTCGTTTTCTAACGAAAAAGGAGGATCGATCTCCTTTTTATATTTTTTCCCGCGTTGTTCATGTTATGAACTCTCGTGGATTTGAGATAATATTTGAAAAACGTATAGAGCTCTGAAGAGAAGGAAATTTGCGACAGTGAACCAGTTTGAGTTATTACTGCAAAATGATGAAAAATAATTTCAGACTCATTATTGAGGTTCGAACTGAATTGATGAATGAATAATCACGAAAAATTATGAGAATTCAAAACTTTCACGATAAGATATGAGCACAATCATGGGCCCCACCACTCCCGCCAGGAAAATTTGCAGGGGGTGGACAAATAGGACAAAATATTGAAAACATTCGTGAACCATGATTTCGACGTGAAAAAGCATCAATTAAAAATCACATTTGGATAATGAAAAACACAAACATAGAAACCATGATATCACAGACTAACAGTTCCCATAATGAAAATAAAAATTGCAATCTAATCATATATTCAATAGAATGCCATATCATCATTATAAATATTGCAACTCTTTCTCTAGTTTTGGATTCGTCGATGATTTCCTTCCAAAACTTTCAATATCGTAGGTTTTAGCGATATTTTTCATTCTCGGTCGTCCCATGTCATTGTTCTCTTCAAGATTTTTGAGGTGTTAACACGATATCAAAAAAGCTGTTCGCGTATATATGTTGAGAGAATCAGATTTTCAGGGAAGATATCAGAAAGGCATTATATAACAAATGAAAAAAGAAATTCTGAACTGATCCTCGCAGAAGCCCTCTCAATATTTGTTCCATCGACCTGACATTTTGCTATACGGATTTGCTTGATATTTCTACTCGAAAATTATCGGCAATTTCCATAGACTTGGTGAAAATACTCACATAACAGTCATTAGCAATGTTGCTAATTTGATTTTGGAACGATAAACTTCATATTTCTTATAAGGATGTCTTTTATTGATCACAATTTCAATCAACATTCTCGAAGTGCATTTCCAGAAAGGGGCGCTCGCCCTCCCCTTATTGAAGTAGAGAATTTGCATTCTCCTTCATATAAAGATATGCCCATAATATCATTCTGAATACTCAACAGAAAACAACTACTTTCCTGGCTATTTACCACGTCGAACATTGAATTATATTACGCCGAGAGAAATATCTATTAGCTGTTATACGAAATTGTATAACCATTAAAAGATTTTTGAATTGAATAGGATCCACCATAGTTCCCATTTCACTATAATCACGTTCATCATTTCAAAAAAATCATATAACTGTGAAATATCACTTATATGAGAATGAAATGACACTCATATAGGGGTCAAATGACTAGCATTTCAATGCTATACGATGATATTATAAAAATGAGAAGATACTCATATGAATTTGACTTGTTTTCAATTTGATAGTCAAATAAAAAGCATTTCAATATTCAATAGTGATATTATGAAAATGAAATAATACTCATATCAATATAATTTGCTTTCGATTTCATAGTCGAATGATTGCATGGTATTTCAGTATTAGGATGATTAATTTTTCTCCAGAAAAATGAAGTGGGTTGAAACTCTTCGAGAAATATTGCAGACATATATACTTGGTTTATATACTTACCCCCAAGTAGAGTTTTTTTGAGGAACTACAGGGCATTGAAGTGCATCACAAGGACGATATACTCAGTTTACAATATCTCAGTTTGTGTTGGACAAAAATGCTTCCAATTTGGACTATATTTGTTCTCATTGTCAGTGCATTGGATTATTATTAACATAGTGGCCATAAATGTAATTACACAGTATCGTCAGTAAATTAGAGTTCACATTCGCAGATTTCGTTTTTTTTTATTTACCGTTATTGCCACTTGAGCTTCACAAAAGAGCGTTGAGAGACTTTTCTTACGACGTTTTCGAGATCCCCATGATAGTAATCATTAATCTTGGACACAATGTATACGCAATACAATCTATCACCGATAAAACTGTTCAAATCCAAGCTTTTGCCACTTAGTGAATAGTGAGATAAGTTAAAAAACCAAAAGTTTTTTCCAATTTGGAAAACGTGAACTTTTCACGTTCATCAGATGACATTTCGTGGTTAAAATGTTTCATTTGGCGGTTATAAGAAGTTTTTGAATAGAGACATGTATAACTGGACTTTTCTCGGTGTATATATACTTCAGAAAATTTTGTTCATTCGAATTCTTATCGTGTGTGTTTAATAGATTTAATTCAATGTTCTTCGTGGCATATAACCAGGAGAGTAGTTTTTTTCTGTTGAATAAACCGAGAAAGAATTAATTATTTCATTACATGGAGAATACGAATTCTCAATGTATTTCTTTATATATATATATATCCATTTTTTTGTGTCTTCTTTATGTATCATAAATAATAATAATAATAATAATTTATTTTCCATGAGACAGGTAATTGAATTGGAATAGTCAATAAATGGACGACTAATGATATATTCGGACACCCGCTATATTCGGATAGTACAAGCACAGATTGTACAAGTGATAAAAAGCAATGTCTTTTTACTGAAATGTTTTTCTGTTACTTGCAGAAGAGCTGATGATATTAGTTGATAGATCGGTGTTTCGTCGTAGCTATTCATGGTTTCGTGATAGATATAAGTTGAATAATTTGTTTGTTTTAGTCGTGATGAAAGTGTCATGTTCCAATCGAGAGATCCAATTATAAAGCAAAATGACCTTAAATCTAAGAAAATATCGGCACATGATGCTGAGACGAAAGGGATTCACGGACATGGTATTCCTGTTGAACATCCAACTTCGTAAGTATACCTATATCCATTCTTTAGATATTCATTGAATAATAATCATGTAAACAGTTCGAATGCTTGAAATAAAATCATTATTCTTCATCTTGATTGACAGAATGTGTTTCAAAATGGTAAACTCGATTTCATAACTTAAAAATTTTCAAATAATTCCTGCAGGCATATTTTTTGCAGTTTTTACTATAATGAACGTTCCACATGTGATGATTGCATTAGCTGTACACAGATCTGTACTCCCATCCACAGTCAATTATCTTCTTCAAATAATTATTTTTCTACCTTATCATGTTATTAGTAGGTACCTACTAATTAATGAGTTGGAATAATGAAACACATCCTGTGAATTGTAGGTACATAAATATTATCATACTGATCTGAATAGGTAATTCATAGATTTCATTTTCGATGAATTTGAAAATATGGAAAATGAAAACTGTATAGTTACTTCTAGGTAGCATAATAATATGACGTGTTTCAAGGTTTTCGAGTATTCTATATCCGCGTATATAAAAGAGCGTATAAAAAAGAATAAATGAATTAGTTACTTATATAAGTATGTGAACTTGGTGAAATTCTATAAAGTCAGTATCCTTGAAAAAATAATTGACATTGTATATATACATCACCTCATAACCTTGTCGATATTGTTACACAATATATATGTGTAATTTTTTTCGCGAAGTTTGGAATAGTTAAATTCTTTACCTGCCTCACCCTACCTAGATCTATTAGTTGCAGAATTAAACAACACTAATTCAACCTGTTCTAAACCGATATGATTCAAATTAGTCAATTGAAAAACCAAAACCATTCATATTTCTAACGCTTTCGATATTTTTTGAGTGGAAGACATTACATTAGGGAATTGATGGGTATTGGGTGGGTCCTCTCTGATTTTTCATGCTAAATTGAATGAAAGTCTTCAAGTCAGTGACTATGGAAGATCTTCAATATACAGTTTGTCTCAGAATCTTTGTCCAATCGAACGTTTTTTCAACTACTCTCACCGTGTGAAACGATTATTAGTACACACGGGATTCTCCTGTAGTATTAGGAACTTGAGTAATTGTGATTTTGCAATAATTTCGATCATTTTCGCATTTCATCGTCAGATTCATCAATATGACTTCATGTCTTTCCGAATATAAAAAAATATCAGTATCGGTTTCAATACTGCGGTATAAAGAACCAAAATTGATTTGTTTGAGCTCCTACAGATATGCAGATAATGTTATACATCAATCCAGAAAACGTATAGGTAATGATAATTGCTGAAGCTTCACAGTAGAATGCGAGAGAATTTTCACAGAGGCAAAGGCAAATAGTTATTTTACACCAAGGTAGTGAAGAATATCAATAATATCATTTTAACCCAGGGACCTAGATGATATCCCGAGGCAGCCAAAAGGGGTAGGTCCCGTCGTAATAATAGTCTTTACTATACCAAGGTGTATATTAAATTTTTTTTACTACAAGCAATATATTTCAATTATTTTCCAGTTCTCTGAAACTGAAATATGGACCTATTTCACTATGAAAGCACTTCATTCCAATTCTAATTCAAATCAATTAGTCATGGAAATGACATCATATAACAAGTCATTATCAATAAATACCCACTAGATTCGAGTGCCATTCCTGCGAATCTCGTGCCAGGACAGTGAATTGAGGTTAATTATAACAGAGGTCTATATGCCTTTATTGACTATAGTGGTTCATAAAATGACGAAAACTACGTTGATGGGTAGTAAATACACACCTTACGCCTTGAAAAGGAGTAAATATGGTAGATTCTATAGCTGAAAGTGAAAAAAATTACTTGCGACGGAAACTTAAATAAATAAGGTCCAGCTAAAAAGTACCAGTACCTCGGCCATTATCATTACACTGTAGAAAATTTCTCTCAGTGAATGCATATCTGGTTGTGAGTGAATTTACTGATTGAAATTTTTGAGTGAAGTCTTCAGTCAAACTAGATATTTAATCAAGTTTTCCTATCGGTGAATGTTTATGACAAATTTGATAGAATCGGCTCATGAATCATCATTTTACACAGTCAAGTAGGGTGAAATTTCAATTCAATCGGACGTGGACCAAAATTGACACATTATTGCGTGGACCTTGGGTGACATTTCACTCAATTTTTTTTTTTCAGTGTATGTATTTAGTAAGCATCACGTTATGCTGAACGCGATATTGGTCTTAGACACAGAGATATTTTGCAAGATATGCCAAATGCAAATGGTTCTTTATACGACCAAGCCGTAACTAAATTGTCTCGAAATTACAACAATCACTTATTATTTCAAATTCCAAACTGATTTTGCTATTTACGCTAACATAATTTATTTTTTCCCTGATATAATACTCCACAGTATTTCGAATCACTGATATATTCTTTGGCCTCTCTCGGTACGTACAGTGTAGCAAAATGATAATCAAAATCAATGACAATTTACGAAATAACCATTTTCAGCGACCTTTCTTGTTTTCCCACTTTTTCTGCTGGTTTGTGTGAATTTTGATGTAGATCAATATGAGAATGAGACAAGGCGATCAAGCAGACTGAATCATCAGCATGCCATCACCGTTTTCTTTATAAATATCTACAGGAATAAGATTATCTCATGTTTGGTTTTTGAATTTTCCAGATATTTAGAGACTCTCATGCATGTTTTCAAAGGGAATGTTGGATCAGGTATATTCGCCATGGGAGACGCAATGAAGAATGCTGGTATCATCTTGGGACCAATTGTTGTCGTTCTATTAGGTGTTATTTGCGTTCATTGTCAACATATTCTGGTAAGAGAAATTACTACTATACTATACAAGTATACATCTGCCATATTGAAACGGTCCTTCAGAAATCATTTCGCGATTGAATGGTATTAGCGCTCTTATTGCAAAATTTAAGTGGCCTAAGTAGTCCATATCACATGTTAACTGAAGGCTTCTAGTTGGTACACCCGTACACCTAAGTAATTTCTGATACTGATATATCATATATTATTCTTATGTCTTATATATTATTATTATATTATAAGGTTCTTTTTGAGTTAGGTCAAGGTTCAGTCTGTTTCAATTACGCTGCACTTTGTTTTATCCTGGTATCACAGATTCACAATGCCTGATTTAATGGCATTATAGGATAGGCCCTGCTCTAGGGCAACAAAAGAGTGGAGGCCCCCTGGAAAATGAATCCAGTTGAGTAGTTTATCGCGAAACCATGCAAGTTTTTACAATATACAGGGTGTTTCTTAAGTACGTGTAGAAAATTCAGGAGCATGTTGCTGACGTCAAAATAAGAAAAAAGTTCGTATACATATATGTTCGAAAGTTAATCGTTTCTGAGATACTTAGTGTCAAAGTTGAATTCTTATTTTTGTTTTTTGGTTGATGAATTTCAAAATAATTCCAGGGGTATTTTTCAAGGACAATATCAAATTTAATGTTAGTTTGTCTCTTTTGTGGGGGTGGCGCTACCTATGTCTTGTGAGTCATTTGAAACGTTTTTTTTGTGCTTACCTATATCACGTTTTTTAATAAATAATAGATTTCTACTTCACTTTTGTGTTGAAATAATATTCCTAATACAGGTCGCTGCGAGCAACTGTTTTCGAGTTATTGGGATTTGAAATAATCGATGCATTTGAATAATTTCCATGGGGCTCGTCAAGTCAAGTCGCCTCTGAGTAGTGAATATCAGAAAAGATATACCACGGCATTTTCCTTCTTTCATCCAATATTCTCCTACATTCAAAATTTGAACGTAGACAAGAGATGATTATTACTTCTATGTACCTACTTCTTTGCACTCTTCCAATTTAAAAAAATAACAATCAAGTGAGTACTTGTCATGATATCTCAATCCGTTTTTGTGACATTGAAGTTTGTTATCATTATTAGTATCAACTTGTAATAACACTTGATTCCTATTTTGAAATGATATTGAAAAAAAAATAGTTTCCCTTACTTCATAAATCAATTTTGAATTCCAACTTATTGTCATTCGAAATCACTTGCATTGATTATTTCAAATCCCAATAACTCGAAAACAGTTGCTCGCAGCGACCTGTACCAAGAATATATTTTTTACACAAAGGGTTCTAGAAATCTATTTTCCTATTATAAAACGTGATACAGGTACGCACAAACAAGTTATGACTTTACAAAAGACCCAAAAGACATGTAGGTGGCGCTACCTCCACGAAAGACATAAACTAACATAACATTTGATATCGTCATTGAAAAATATCTTGAGATACCAATCTTCATTCGAATATCACAATCATTCAACAAAAAACAAAAACAAGAATTCAACTTTGACACTCTGTATCTCAGAAACGAATAACTTTCGGTCAAATATTTATACGAACTTTTCTTCTCATTTTGACGTCAGCAACATGCGCCTGAATTTTTTACACTCACTTAAGAAACACTCTGTATATGAATATAGTCGAAAACAAAACAAGAATTACTGGAAAGTATTCTTGGCGCGTGGAAAAATAGAGCCTTGTGAGTTTTTTTCGGGGGTAAATACATAAGAGATAATGTTTTTATAAATAAATACATGTTTAATTGTTCGAAAGTTTCATTGTCACGGCAAACAATCGAGAATCAAGGTAGGTATAGTGAAAAAATCGCGACCGCTTGCTCGAGCGATTTCCTTGATTCGGTATGTTCTGCCAAATGATAAAATTCAATAAAGACATCTCTCGAGTGTATATTGGCAAGGTGAATACACAACTAAAGTATAAAGACAATCTGGTTGGGAAAAGAAATGGAGTTGTGTGAAGAAAACTCGAAAATTATCTGACAGTATTGCATAATTATTGGTTATTGGAAAAGCAAGGTAGCTTTTCATCACTTCAAATGCCTGGTGATTGGTAGGTTCTAGAAATTTTCAATGGTGGGTAGGGATAGCTTTGATAGATTGTCATGTTCCATTGAAGTTCGAAGCCTATTTTTCATAAATTTTATGGTTGAAAGTGATCATCAATTCTCAGTGCAATTCAAATGTTTGCGAATGTAGCTCTGAAAATTTCATCTTCAACAATGTGGTATCGAAATAAATTCGTCGATTCGACTTTTCCAGTCTTTTTTATATAGGTCGATCAGAGGTACCATTAATATGCCATTTAATAATGCTTCAACAAATTATTATGATCAAACAACATACCTTGCTAATAACAAATAAATGGAAAAAATATTGATCATTCCATTAATGATTGATTTGTTGAAAAATTAGATGACACCAATTATTGTTCACATATTATTATCAATTCATATAGCCACACTCAACCTTCAAGGCTATACGAACAAGTACCACCATATACTTGAGATACTCGATCATTTGACATATTGATGCTTTCATATTGGAGTGAACGAATATGGATAATTTTTTTTTTTTTTCAAGAATAATATACTTCTGTTTGTGCGAATTACAACAGGTAAAAGGCCACAAAAAACTTTATCATAGAAAATTACTCATGAATAATATACTCATGTTCATACAGAATAGGTAAAACAGCGAAAAAAAAACTTTTTCATAAATGGTATCATAATAATATAGGAGAAGTTTTCTACTTACTTCGGCACTGTGGATTTATACCAGAAAAAATATTTCATATGTAGCCTTTCGGGCCGTGGTTTCCAGAGTAGGTAAAGTAGCGCCTCCTTGGGGGCACAGGAAGTCTTCTTTTTTATTCATTTCTTCTAGAGAAAAATAGTAGATCGTTTTATCAGGATCAGAAGTGAAACTTTCTTTGACAAGCTAATTTCACATTTTGGAGGCAGAGCGTCCAGCGAAGCCAAGCGAAAGCGGAATTTGCGAGTCAAACAAAGTCACTTTTGATCCGAATGAAACATGGTATTTTTGGCAACCGAAAGAATCAACTGAAATGAATATAAGTGAAGTGATCACCAATGTGACTCACTTGACAGATTATCATAATAATATGTGTAAACAGATAGCAGCAGGACCCCAGACTACTTCACTTGTTAAGAATTTGAGTTGCAATGCATCATGTCATCAGATACTATATGCACGAGTTCAATACTATCCGAAACATCGATGCCGTGCCATATGTATGCAATGCAACAAATAATCCGTGTGGTGGGAATATTCTACCTGCATTTACTGATCAGGTTCACTCAATTTCCAGGGATGTTCGAATTGTAGTTTCAATATTACTACAACCACAGAGTGACCTATTTGTATATTCTATTGAACCGATGAATTCATTCGGATCAGGGGTCAGCCCTAATAGCAAATACTACGCTCGACTTCTGAGGGTTGCTCGTAAGGGGGCAACCGACTGACGGTTAGAACAATTTTAGAACAACAACAACAATTTTAGTGGCACTCATTGGAGAAAGAAGTGAAAAATGTTAGGTTAGTAAGCATATCAACAATAAAAATAATGATTATTTATATCTTTCCATATTCCACTGTCATTGGCTTGGTAATCAAATGTTGGTATTTTTGTGTGAGGAAGAAAGGTATTGCTGACCGTGATTATTCAAAAACAAGTTATCAAATCAATGACATTACGAGAATAACGAATGGAATACGGAGCAAGAATATGAATCTTGAAGGCTTTCCTGATCAAAATAAAAATAATTAACTATATCATTATGTATTTCTATATCCAGCATGGGTATGATTGGCATCTCATCGGAAGCAAATCAGGTATGCGTCCCAACCCATATAACCAACCGTTATTTATTCTTGATGACCTAGTATATCCTTTCAAGTTCCATGGAGCTAAAACTGAACTCAAGCCCCTTCGATCTAGAAGTGTTTTCAAGCATTTCACCTACGTTTGTGTCTGTTATAGAAACGTCAATTCTAGGGCTAATTTTTGTATCAAAATGGACGGTTTTTGTCTCGATTGCAGAAAAAAATTATTTTTATTCAAGCTGAGAAATAAGATATTGTTATCGTAATGTCCTGAACTCGTATCTCTCCATCAACAGATTTGAAAAAAGGGGGGGCACTGAACGGTTCTTAATATTTTTAGGCTCATTTTGTGCGGGAGTTCTTCAAGTTGGCCCTATCCCTGTGCGGGTACATAATTTATTATTATTATCAAAAAATGTTGGGGACGCTACACACATTTTAATTCTCAAAGTGGGCGGCAGGCAAAATCAATTTGGGAACTACTGACTGCTTTAGGGTCTAGGCTCTTAGTGGGGAAATCTGTGGTGGGGAGCTGTAGCTTGGTAAATATCATGCATGACTGATGCTGCTTAATGATTATCAAAGCTGTATCCTAATCAGGCTACTTCAGAACTTATACGCTCCAAACGTTCAAGAAAATTCCAACCCCTACCTCCTCTCCATAACATCCTTGGGATCGCATAATGTTCTGAGAACATTATAGGAATTTCCTTTCTTGCGCTCCAAGAGATAAAAAACGCTCTTTATCAGTCGTTGATTATCAACGTATTGTCTGACAGTTACTGAAAGCTAGAAAAATCCACAAGGAATCGTATAATTGAATAAACTTTTTATGAATTTTATCAGTCAATTAACAAAAAATCCTTTAACCTTCATTCCCTGTTGCTGATGGATTCTTCACGTCCCCGTAATTTATTTCAGCCTCAAATCGAACATACACACCTGAATAAATTGTCTACATCCCGTTGTATAACTCAAATAATGCGATCTGCTGTGTTTACTAACACAGGTATGTGTAATTACAGAGTTCACAGTAATGAACATAATCAATTCAATTGAAGTAATAAATTCTCAGCAACGACTATCTAGGTATATCAGATTTATGTCAAGGTTAGCTGCT